AGCTGCTGCAAACTGACACATAAATATATAGTGTATATATATATACACATAAATATATATATCTATACTATTAAAGCAAGACATTTCCGCTAAAAACTTCGGAGGGGGTGAATGGCTGGGCGTGAAACGTACACCACGTATCGACAATGATTCCGTATCCTGCCTCTCAACTTTGGAAGAAAATGTAACCTCCGAAAATGTGATTTTGCGAGGGAAACATTGAAAATCTATACACACTCTATAAATTCATAGATTTATAGAACGAGGGAATATACACACAGCATCACGTAGGGCCTACGTGTCAATCCATGACGTATTACCGTAATGTCGCAGTGTCCGCATGGCTAGGACATTAGTCTCCTATACCGGGATTCCGGATTCGAGTCCAAGCTGGGGAACTTATTTTCCCCTTTTTTCCTTTCTTCCCTTTATCTACCTCTTTAGTATGTATTATTTTCCCCTCCGGAGTTTTTAGCCGAAATGTCTCACTTTAATAGTATAGATTTATTTTTAATTAATTTATTAAATTTATTATTTTTTTAATTTATTTTTATTTTTAATGTCTTTTATCTTTTGATTTCTTATTTATTTGGGATGGGATGGCATGGGATGGCATGCGATGGGATGGGATGGGATGGGATGGCATGGGATGGGATGGCATGGCATGGGATGGCATGGGATGGCATGGGATGCGATGAGATGGCATGGCATGGCATGGCATGGGATGGCATTGGATGCGATGAGATGGGATGGGATGGGATGGCATGGGATGTCATGGGATGGCATGGGATGGCATTGGATGAGATGAGATGAGATGGGATGGGATGGGATGTGATGTGATATGGGATGGGATGGCATGGAATGGAATGGGATGCATGGATAGATATAGACAGTTAGATTTTTTGGGTATTTTCCTTTCAACCAAGCGGTCACCAACTGAGTAACGCCACTGATTTCCCCGGGCAACGCCGGGTATCCGCTATTATATATATCAGGAGTAGATAATACCTACCCTATTATCTACTCCTGATATATATATAACAAGAGTAGATAATAACACATATATATAACACATATAATCAGGAGTCTATCAATTGATAGACTTCTATTGATAGACTATCTATTGATAGACTCCGGTGCAAATACACTTTATGACGTCCAGTATGGCGGCGCAGTATGGGGGCGCCGGTGCAAATACACTTTATGACGTCCAGTATGGCGGCGCAGTATGGGGGCGCCTAACCCTAACCCTAACCCTAATTCTAACCCTAACCCTAACCCTAACCCTAAACCTAACCCTAA